GGCTACTGTTCCCCAAATACAAGTCCTACCATTAGTTGACTTAGTTATCACCCATGGAGGGAACAACACCATTACTGAAACCTTTTATTTCGGGAAACCTATGATAGTCTTACCCCTATTTGGTGATCAATACGATAACGCACAGAGAGTGGAGGACAAGGGGTTTGGTATACGACTCAATGCTTACAAATGCAGTGAAACTGAGTTATTGACAGAAATTGAAAGTCTATTAAATAATAATGAATTGAATGAAAAACTGCGGAAAATATCTTCTCGAATACAATCGGATAATAGTATCGCAAAACTGCCGCAAATTATTGAGGACTTCATTCAACACAAAGAAAATTATATTGACTAATAATTAGACAAAATTATATTTAATACAATAAAATTGTAATATTTTGATAATATTTTATTCGTTTCTAAATTAAATTATATCTTATTTGCAAAGTACTTAGACCCCATCAGTCATATATATGATGGACATTATTTAGTTAATTTAAATTATATACAAATAATTTGTTATTTTTATTTTTTATTAGAATTGAATTAGCCAATGTGTTTCATTAACACAAAATAATTTACAAAATTATACTTGATTTTAAAACACAGTAATTAATATTTTATTTTTAAAGTGACCTTTAAAATAAAATATATACAGTATTATATAAGAGGAATATTATGTTTAAAATATTTATTTTATGATGTGGACAACATGAATAGGCTGTTGGCTATATTGGGTAGGACTCCGCACCGGTATATCGTGTCGATGGGTCCCAAACACGAGAGTATCAAACTGTATGACAATATGTGGGGTGCGTCTACTGTTCCCCAAATACAAGTCCTACCGTTAGTTGATTTGGTGGTAACACATGGAGGGAACAACACTATCACCGAAACCTTTTACTTCGGGAAACCTATGATAGTCTTACCCCTGTTTCACGATCAATACGATAACGCACAGAGGGTTCAGGAAAGGGGGTATGGCCTGAAACTGGATGCCTATAACTGCGATGAATACCAATTGTTTAACGCGATTGAAGGCCTACTAAATGATAGGGAAATGAATGATAGGTTACAAAAGATATCGAAACGTATACAACAGGATAATAGTATCGCGATGTTGCCGAAACTTATCCAGGATATTGTCAATAATAAGTCGGCTATGGATTTGAATAATAATTAAATAATGCTTAAATATTTTATGACAGTGTTTGATCATGGTACCATTTTAAATAATTTTGAAATTATCATTATTCCTATTTTTATATTTATTTTATAAATACATAAAATATTAATTATTTTTTATAAAATAATATTCAATTATATTTAAATAGTTGTAATTCTTATTAACTATATAACGATATCATCTAAGTAAATAATAATGTTAAAAATTTAATTTACTTTTATTTTATAAATTATTTTACAACACTAATTCAAATCATTACTTTCAAGTTAGTTAGTCATTTATTAATACATAATTTAATATTATATTAATGTTAAGAATTTAAAAATTGTAAAAATTAATTTTATAACAACACATTTAATATATTGTAATTTTTAAAAGTGTCAATATAATCAGGATGATCAATATACTCATCATAAATTTTCGTGTCTTAATTTAATAAATTAACAATTATATTATTGTGATAATTGTTATTTTTTAAACTAATTGTTTATTTTAATTTGAAAACTGTAATTATAGTCTCAAAATTTTTAAAAATAATGTTAAAATATATTAAACACACTTTATTGGTTGCACCCCAGATGGACTTTTTATATATTATTTTATATCACTTTCAATTAAATAAATTGTATTTATTTTATTTATTATTATTTACAAAATGTTACATTATTTGAGAGTTACATGGTTATTTATGCCTTCAATAGAAAGTTGGAGATTTTTAAATGAGCAAATTATTGAGGACTTCATTCACTTCAAAGGCAATTACATTATTAATTAATATTCTGTATAAAAAACTGCAACTTTCACTAATTTGACAGAAATATTACTAGTTTTCATATTAATATTATAATATGGTTAATATAATTGGATTGAACTAATAAAATAGATCTATGATTATATTTTAATACTCAATATAAAATTATATAAAATGTAAAAATTTACAATTTATAACTAAGACAAAATGTGGAGTTTGTTGTGCAAATATTTGATAATCTAATTCAAACATTTATCATACGACCTTGATATAAAACAACATAAATATAATTTTGCTAAAATAAACAAATTTCTATTCAAATATAATATATTCGTATAAATACTTGCGATAAGTAATTATCCTATTAAATAAAATTAATTTAAAATGTTTATAACGTAATAGTTTATAAAATAAAATTTTCTATTAATGTGCAAAACACTGGACATCCTATTCATACCAATCCCCGGCACCGGACACGTGAACGCCTGCATAGGCTTAGCGGAGGTACTCATCCAAGCGGGACATACCGTCTCCTTTGTCATCAATTATCTATGGGAGGGTCGGCTCACAAAGTATGGCATCAAAGAGCTATTACTGACAGATGAGGACCCAACTAAGGAGCCTGGTGTTAATAAACTTGACTTGTTAATTAAACATGGATATATTGGCGTAGATATGACACCGTTGGAAAGGGTGAAAAAATTTGGTAATGGGTTCATAAAAAGGCTCGAGATGTTTACCAAGTTTGAAAATGACATTTCTAAATTGTTGGCTACTATACCCAAACCTGATGTAATTGTGATGGATCATTTTGCTACCATACCATGTGTCGAGTTGTCGGGTATGCCCATTGTACGGGTGAAAAGTTCAAACCCTTTAAATTTGCTGGATGATGATAGGACACCACCTGGAGGATCTGGTAAAGTTTAAATGTCTTAAATAGAATATATATAATATAATTATAAATTAATTCAACTTTAATTTTAATAATTTTAATAATTTTAATAGTTTATAAGTTAACATTATAATGTGCTAGTATGCAATAGGTTTAAGTAATAAATAAATTTCAATTAATAATATAGATAGCTAAAAATTTTTAATACAAACAATTAAAATAAGCTAGGTTTTACTTAATTTAAGTTATGCTAATTTAATTTTATATAATAATTTCAATTAGAAAAGTTTGTCTTTTAATAGGTTTATCGGGTTTGGCTGATCCGAGCGAATGGAAACACTATAGAGATGTCAGAAAACAATATTTAGATACCGAGCCGTGGATTAAATACAATGAATTCATGGTTTCAAAAGGCTGTCCACCGCTTCAGGAAAATAAATTCATGTATACCCATAAATATCTCAATATCTATGGCTATCCCCTTGAGTTAGATTACTTAGACATGAGACCACTGCCCAGAAATGTCATCCGATTTGATAATCTGAAGCGAACTGAAAGGGAGTTATCGTTTGAGATACCGGTGCCGTTGAGGGATAGACCGGGAAAACTTATATACTTTTCAATGGGATCTATGGGTGGAGTGGATGTGAAAAACATGAAGCGATTGATTGATCTTATGTCGAAATCTAAGCACAGATTCATTGTATCGAAAGGACCCAAACATAGTGAGTATGAGTTGCCGGATAACATGTGGGGTCAACAGTCTGTCCCTCAGCTCCATATCCTACCGTTAGTTGATTTAGTTATAACCCATGGAGGGAACAACACTATCACCGAAACATTTTACTTCGGGAAACCTATGATAGTGTTACCCCTATTTGCTGATCAATTGGATAACGCACAGAGAGTGGAGGACAAGGGGTTTGGGAAACGACTCAATGCTTACAAATGCAGTGAATCTGAGTTATTGATAGCAATTGAAAGTCTATTAAATAATAATGAATTGAATGAAAAACTGCGGAAAATATCTTCTCGAATACAATCGGATAATAGTATCGCAAAACTGCCGCAAATTATTGAAGACTTTGTTGAACACAGAGATAACTACATTAAATAAATAATTTTCTTTTAAATAGCTAGTTTATTTTTAAAATTAAAATGTAGCATTAATTAAAAAGTATTGATAACATAAATAACTACTTTTGATTGAAATAATAAAAATGATATAACCAACCTGCAATAATCAACTTGTATTTATCGTATAATTAATTGACCTTGGCATAATCAATTGACTCTAACCCTGAATTATTCAATGTCATAAAAATGTCTTTTGAGACATAATGTTGATAAAAAAATGTGTAACTATTACAGTAAAATTAAAAACTAAAATTTTGCCGATTTACTTTAAATGTTTTTAAATTTTAGTGCTACAATAATTTAAAATATTAGTAAAACTATTATATATTATTTACTTTTTTAATCAATAATTAGTCATTTAAAATATTATAATCAATGCCAAAACCACTGGACATCCTATTCATACCGGTCGACGGTATGGGACACGTAAACGCCTGCATAGGCTTAGCGGAGGTACTCATCCAAGCGGGACATACCGTATCCTTTGCCACCAATGATCAATGGGAGGGTCGCCTCACAAAGTATGGCATCAAAGAGTTATTATTCACAGACCCGGATCGCCCCAAAAATATAGACCCGGAGGCACATTTTGGAGAGATGCTAATTAAGCAGGGTACTATTGGCACCGATATGACACCATTGGAAAAGCTTAGAAAAATCAAGGTAGGGTCGTTTAGAAACACCGAGATGTTCATCCAGGCCGATAAAGATATAACTGAATTGTTGGCTACTATACCCAAACCCGATGTAATTGTGATGGATCATTTTGGTGCCATACCATATGTGGAGCTATCGGGTATACCTATTGTGTGGGTGTGTAGTAACAATCCACTATTTTTGGGTGATGATAATAGATTGCCACCTAGTACATCTGGTAAGACTTTTATCATTTTAAAAGTATAATTTTTAATGAATAAAATAAGTTGTTTCCCATTAATAATTTTAACATATTGTTTATACTAGTATTATACAATTTTAATATATAAATATTATGAATAAATTATATTTAATTGATGTAGCTAATTTAGATTTAATACAAAACATTATACAAAAAATATTTAAAATTAAATTATACTATTGTTTTGGCAAAAGGTTTGTCGGCTTATGCGGATCGTTGTAAGTGGAAAGCCTACAGAGATGCTAAACAAGACGCTACCGATCCACAGATTTGGATTAAATACAATGAGTATATGATTTCAAAAGGTTGTCCACCACTTCACGAAAATAAATTTTACTATCACCATAAATACCTGTTTATATACGGCTATCCACTTGAGTTAGACTACATAGACATGAGACCACTGCCCAGGAATGTCATCAGATTTGATAATCTAAAGCGAACTGAAAAGCATTTAACGTTTGATATACCGGTGCAGTTGAGGGACAGACCGGGAAAACTTATATACTTTTCTATGGGATCTATGGGTGGAGTGGATGTGAAAAACATGAAGCGATTGATTGATATTATGTCGAAATCTAAACACAAATTCATTGTATCGAAAGGACCCAAACATTCGGAGTATGAGTTGCCGAACAACATGTGGGGCGCGGCTACTGTTCCCCAAATACAAGTCCTACCATTAGTTGACTTAGTTATCACCCATGGAGGGAACAACACCATTACTGAAACCTTTTATTTCGG